AGGCATCTGGAAAGCCCAGAATGGGAAACCTTTGGTTTCCTGGGACCAAGAAGCCAGTTCTGTTTACTTTACCTATGAACGTGACTTTTTCTTGTCTTCTACAATTTCTCCATGCATGCGCTTTCATTTTTAGGAAGATATTTTTATCTATTCTTGTGAAATCTTTTAGCTTTTCTTGTTTGACTTCCTCCAGGGTATAAAACCAATGTCATTGTTTTTCCTAGGGCTGGATTGTGTGGATTATGGAGGTACCGTTACTCTGAATGTAGAGGGACATTTTAAAATATAACTCAAATAGAAGTCAAGAAAAAAATAATCCTGGATGGTGAGACTCACCCTGCCTCCCTGTCTATATTGTTCCACTTCACAAAAGTTCAGGCTGTGCCACCTTCCCTGGGGTGGACACTGCAAAGATTGCTTCAGAATATCCTCCCTGGAGATCTGATGAGATGACTGGACACTGTAGGCGGTGGTAAATTCTTCCACCCTGATTACTCACAAAGCAGAAATAACTAACCTGTGATTAACTATTTTAATTCTCCTCATTTTAAGGGTGAGTAGAAGAACTAGTAACCCAGTTTACAGCTACCAGTTAGTCCCGCCTACTCGCACAGCTCTGGCCCTGGGGATGTTTGACACAAGTAATTTTCTTACTAGCTACCAGGTGCCCTTTGAAAATTGTCTCACCTTGCCTGCTCTTTTGAATAAGTGTAGCTGGTGTTGTGCCTTGTATGCAGTGGACACTCAATAAATACTGTATGAACGCAGCTTATCATCCATCATTTGGTCTCTCTGGGTCTCAGTCTCCTCTATGTAAATTGAGAGTACTGGCAAATGATCGCTTATATACCTTCCAGTTTTAATATTCTATGAGTCCTTTTGGATAGCCTTTTAAAACTATCTCCCATCTCCAATGCTGTTTCTAAGCAACAAAACAGTACTTCCCTGGACTCCTTGCCTGACCTCTTCAGCCCACAGAGATGTTTCTCACTTGAGGCCGCAGCATTATGTTATCTGTAACATACATTTATTTATTATCTGGTGTTATTTAGCTTTTCATCTATGTAGATTCTATCCTCATGATTAGAGTGTAAGCTTCCCAAGCCAGATACTATATAAAATGTGCTCAGTAAATATTTGTTAAATAAATAAATAAATAAATAAATAAATAAATAAATAAATAAATATCATACCAAGAAATAGCCGTAATTCTATCTAGAGGGAATTCTGGGCTATGGGAAGCAGAAGAATCAAGGGTGAACCCCAAGTTTGTGGTTTGGGACACTTGGGCCTGATGACGCTTTTCTTTTAAAATAGGGAATCCTGAAAGTAGAACTGGTTTGAGGGAGAGAGGAAGGGAGGTGAATTTAGTGAAAAGCTGCATTCTCTACCTCCTTCTTGGAGATTCTCAAAGGACATTAGCCAAGTAATATTGAGACATGAGATATTGGCCAAAGAGCATAGTTTATTGAACTTAGCCCAAAGCTTCCCAAATAATTGAACATGATTTTGGAAACACTGATGTAACTTAAGAAGAGAAGCAGGCCTAGGAAGAAAGGCTGCAGGACAACTAACTTTTAAGGAAGGGCAGGAGGAATTTGAAAAGGAGTGTGCAGAAAGGTAGGAGGGACTTTTAATCCCTGGGCTTTAATCCTGGCTCCATCTTTCCACTGACAGAGGGACAGACTCAGGCTCATCTCTTGCCATGGAACAATAAGGCCACATCTTGAACGTGCAGAGTTCTTTGGAGAAAGAAGGCACTCACGCGCACTTCCACATTCAACTCTCTCATCATCCTCTCTTCCCAAAGAAATCACCCTTTTTGCCAAAAAGAAGCCTATATTAACACTCTCAAGTTCAAGCACCCAAGAATAACCCAACATCCAGTCTTGAAATGATAATGAATTGTCTTATGTTAGATCTGATATAGGCAAAGTCAATACAAAATCTTAAAACAACATAGAAAAAACCAATGTTGAGTTAGTGAGCTTACTCACTCCCCATCATCTGGGACTATCCTCAAGCTTCCCTTTAATGTTTCATTTCAATCTCTACAGCATCAACTTGTTAAAAATTCTTTATTTGTGTATGGAAAGCTGAGAAAGGGTAAAAAAGATGAAGAAGGGAAAACACAAGGTACTAATTTCCATTGTATTCATGCTGGTAGGATGGTGCAATGGGACAGCCACTTTGAAAAGCAAGTTAGCAGTTCCTCACAAAATTTCACATAAAATGACCATATCACTCACCTGAAACTAATATAATATTGAATGTCAACTGTAATTAAAAAGTAATTAAAATTTTAAAAAAGAAAATAAAGAAATAAAAATAAAAGGAATAAAAATGACCACATGACCCAGCAAGGGGTCTGGGGCTTGCTTTTGGTGTGATGAAATTCTAAAATTAAATAGGGGTGATAGGTGCACAACTCTGTGAATCTACTAAGACCGCTGAACTGTTCACTTTGAAAGGGTCGATTTTACAGTGTGTGAATTGTCTTAATAAAGCTGCTATTCAAAAAAAAGAAAAGAAAATGCAAGGGGGATGAATGCTTCTTTTTCAAGATAAAATTTTCTCCAAATAGTAAAAAAATCAGTGATTTTCTTCGTTCCTCAAATGCTTTATTTACCTCCACAGCTGTGTAGCCCCTGAGATAGTCACTCTTATTCCCTATTCCTTTTTGCGAAAATATTTTCAGCTGGTAAAATTAATCTGTCTTTAATTAAGGTATCTTTTTCTATTTGAAGCTCAAATAACATTCGACTTTTGGTTTCTGACATGTTTGCACCCATGTAGAGCTTCGTCTTGACATTTCCATGATGTTACACAGAACGTTTGTTTATATAATTTATGTGTACATTTCTTAGATCACTTTTCCAAGAGTCAGGTTGTTGAGGTATAATTCACATTCAGTCAAATTTACCCTTGAAAGTTGTCCAATTCTGTGAATTTTGGTGACTGTGTATAATCTGGTAACTATGAGCACACTCGAGATGTAGACTATGTCCATCATCCTAAAGTGCCCTCTCATGCCCCGCTCCCAATATCTAGGCCCTGGCACCTCCACTCTGATTTCTGCCTTCAGGACACTCTTCAATTTTTATTCTGTGTTTTCATGATTTATTCTGAGATAAGTCTCTCCACCAGGCAGGCTTTGTATCCCTGTAGTGCCCAACGTGGCACCAGACACCTAAAAGTTGTTTGGTGAATAGATGTTGAATAAATGAATGAATCACTTGTTTTTTAGATAGTGCCCAATCATTCCAGGGACTCTGCTCTCTGATTTCCAGGATGTGCCATTTGAAAAGAGGCTATTAATGTCGGAAAAGCTTTCTCCTAGTGTTTAATTTATACAGTCTTTAAAAAAACATAAGCCACAGTGATTTCCCACTGCAGAGATTTTGCCAAGCATTTCAAACATTTCCTTAGACTTGGGGCTTACAAGTTTGTTTGCTCAACCAGCATGCGAACTTCTATCCTCTCAACCTGAATAAACAGATGGAAATAGAATCTGAGACCCAATGCAGCTGCTGCTCTCTCCTCCTCTATCTACTGCCCATCTCTGATCCTTCCACCTCCACATAGCATGGTCCAGGCTCTCATCCAGAGCACCCCTGAGTAAGTTCTGTGAGATTCCAGACCCACTTCATGAACAATTCCAGCTGTGGAATCTGATGTCTGCTGGAGCTGGACTTTAACCTTTCTCATCACTCAGGATGTGGCCCTGTGAAAACCTTGCCGCAGCTGGCTCATCAGTCAGGCTGTGGTCCCTTGGTCCGTCTGATTTGATTCCTCTTTTATTTCCATGTGAATTAGAAAATCAACATTCCCAGAGCAATTACAAGAGGCAGGGAACAGAATTCCCCCTTGCCTGACCAGTTGTGTGAAATGGCCTAGTCCTTGAAGAGAACTGCCGTTTCTTGAAAGGTGTGGTGCTTTCTTCTCGGCTGGCCTACTAGCCCCACTTAGATGGGTCCCTAGGCACTTTCTGTGGGTTGGCGGTCCCCTGCTGTGTCCTTTGCCCAGCTGGCAAAGCCCAAACAGCACAGGTGCTACTTGATATCTGGGAGGTTGCAGCTTGCCTCCAAGATGGAGTCTTGCTGCTGGCATCAAACTGTGACCAAATCTCATTCAGTCTCTTCTTTCTTTGACCGCTCGCTTTGCCCTGTGGCTTTCCTGGAGCAGCACTGGTGGAGGACAGTTCCTGCTCCTAGGTGACAATGCATTATGTGAGCCTGTGTCCTGCCAAGCCTTTCAAGGTGTCTCCTGATGCAAGGGTGGGGTTCTATTATGTGCAGCTCAATAAAACACCCCAAAGGTGTTAATTGTGGCTTCATGGAATAACTGTGTAGTTCATAAACCCGTGGACAGATAAACCATTACTCAATGGAAGGGAGCCAAAGAAATTCTGTGTACAGTAATGATGACAGGGGTGCGTGCTTGTGTGAGAGAAGTGGGTAACTGGGGATGAGGACACTTTCGAAAAAGAGAAAAAAGGAAGAAAGAAAAAAAAGGGTCAAAGTAGAGGAAAGTTTTTATTCTTCATGAAGATCTTCTATAGCTGTGACTATCAAACTTTTATTTTATTACTACCATAGTAGAAAATACATTTTACTTCATCATGCAGGGTGTGCGCACACATATACAGATGTATAAAATAAAATAGAAAATAAAATTATGTAGAGCTAGCTATAGGCATGGGAAATTTGTTTCTATTATACATCTGTGTCAGTGTGTGTGTGTGTGTGTGTGTGTGTGTGTGTGTGTGTGTGTGTAGAGGGCGGTGCCCCGCGAGCAGCCCCAAATCCCACC